CCTCTCCCCCCGGCCCCGCTCATCCCATTCACAGAACATGGCTTTCAGGACCCTCCTGGTCTCCTCCTCCTGTCGCCATGGCTGCGGGGAGGGGGTGGGAGGAGACAGTTGGGGCCAGCCGCTGCCCCTGCTGCTCCAGCTAACCCTCCACCGGCCCTTTCTCTCCCTTCCACAGGCTGGGCCCCATCCCCTGCTGCTCTGGGGGGCAGGGGCCGGAAGATGGTGGCCAATGAGGAGGGGGAGTAGAGAGAACTTGAGCCGGGCCTCCCCTCCCCCATTTCCTCCTCGGTCTCTACACCCGCCTCTGGAAGGAGCTGGGGGATGGCTCCTGGGCCCGAGGTGGGGGAGGGGCGCTGCTGGCTGGTGAGTCGCAGGGAATCCTGCTCTGGAACGAGCTGGGTGTGAGCGGAGGGGATCTCGGCCCCAGCCCCTCTCCCTGCGCTCCCCAAGGAGAGATCTGGGCACTCCTTGGTGAAGAAGCTTCCTCGGGCCTCCCTAGAGCTGGCTGAGCAGTCCCGTCTTCGCCCCTCTGCCCTCTGTTGACATGATCCATTTCCCAGCTGGGACTGGTTTGCCCAACCCAGGAGCAGAGGCCTGGTGACTGACCCTAGCGGGGCCTTAGTTTCCGTCCATTAGAACTGTGCAAACTGCGGGACGGGCCCGTGTTTGCAGATCACAGGAACAAACCCTGCCTGGGACGGCGGGAGAACCCCTCCTGCTTCCTGAGGTGGGTGGGAGAAGGCTGCAGGGGAAGCCCAGAGGAAGGGGAGCTCCCAGCCGGAATTCTGCCCTCCATTCCTCCTGCTGGCTGTGGATTGGGGAGGAGGGCATCTGCATGGCCCAGAGGCCTTCACTGACCAGTACAGCCCAGGAGCAGCCCCACAGCCTCTGCACCCCTGAGCTGGCCACAGCTCACCAGGTCAGAACTGGAGCTGGGCTTCTGGGGCCACAGCTCTAGCCAGCAGTGTGTCCCGCTAGGGCATTGAACCTTTGGCTATCCAGGTTGCCCCTCCAGGGCTGTCTCCTGGCTTTGCGATTTAATCAGTCTCAGGGTTCTTTACCCAGAGCTGAAGCCCCCTCCACTAGGGTAGGATGGGGAAGTTGTGGGTGAGCTTGAAGACTTCCTAATGGGAGTCCCTGGGTAAAACAGGAAACAACCTAGATTCGAATATCACTGCCAATGAAATCCTATCCCCTATTGCTCAGTATAAGAGAGGGAATCACCCTCACTGTTTTTGTTTCATGCTGAATCCATAAAGTGGAGTTTGAAGACCTCAGAGGAGATGGAGGGGTGTGGCGTCACTCACAGCTTCCACCTCTGTGCTGCCTTGGGAACTGGGTCTATAGTCCCTCACCATCTGGTCCTGGAGCTTCAGCTAAGGTGTCCCCTTGAGGCCTAGAACTCCCCTTTATCTAAACTTGAGAGAGAGCTTTAGGGTAGGAAAGCATAGAGGGCTCTGTGGTCCTGGTGGGCACGCTCCTCTCCAGAAGGAAAGCTGGCAGAGATACAAACCCAGATAACGTGAGTGACCCCCAAGCTTCTGGGATTTCCACCAGTCACTTCCTGTGAAGACTGAGCGACAAGCTCAAGGTATCCCTTCTGCTGCCTCCATGGGCCGCGTTCCTCACCCCAAAACTCAAGAAAAAGGTGGTCGAAGTGCTGGGAAGGGCATGAGGAAGAAGGCAAGGAGAAGCGGAGAGAAAACAGAGGATTAACACTGAGAAGGGAGGAAAGCTGTACTGAAGATAAGAGGGGCAGAGGGAGGCTGAGTGGGCCAGGGACTGGGAGAGGGGTGAGGAGGCAGGCTGGGCACGCCTCTGCTGCAGGCCGGAGCTCTTTTCACATTGTGCTACTGTCTGCACCTACCACTAGCAGTGCAATGTTAAAAGGGCATTGGCCGTGCAGCGCTACCAGCGCCGGCTGCCTCCTCAGCATCAAGGCTTCCTCTCCCATCTGGGCGCCAATCAGCTACCCTGGTGGGAACGTGGGAAGCCTCACTATTACAGTCAGCCGAATAGCTCACATTTATGGAAGCACTTTTGCATGTAGTTCGTGGGCTAGACACTTGTGTACATGAAGGACGACTTGGCAAGTCACAACCCCATTTCACAGGTGGAAAAACTGAGCCAGAGGTTTATACAGTATGGCCAAGGTTACGTAACTCTTAAGTTGCAGAGCCTGCCTATAACCCTGTCCTAAGTCTGGTAGTTCACCCATCCTTTTGTAGACCTGTCTGAAGAGGTGTGGGTAGGTTCTCAGCTGAGGGGTGGAAGGTTTTGATGCCATCTGCTGGTTGTATGAGGGTATCTTCCAAAGTCTCCAGCCTTTAAGGATAAAGTGGTGGCTTGTTGCCTAAGGAGGAGGCGGGCTCAGACATGGCTTGGGATTGGAGGGTGGTGAGTGGAGAAGATTGGGAGAATCCCTGTTATGACCTGAATAGACCTCCATGAGAAAAGGGGATGCACAGGGAAGAAAAAAGGGCTAACTTGAAAACACTGCTCCCTAGGGACAAGGACATGGCCTCTGGCATTCCACACCTGTGGCTTCTTCCCTAGCTCTTGGGGTGTAAGAGATCTCATCTCCACTTGTAATTCCCAGCACGACCCTTCTTGTAAACAGGTGTTTGATAGTAATGCTTCCTGGGGATACACCTCTCTGGGAATCCAAGCTTTGGACTGCATTGCCCACAGCCGGATCTTAGAGACTAAATAGGTTCCCTGAGCAAAGCCCACAGAAGGATTCTTCGGGGAGAGATTGCAAGAACTTGAAAGCAACAACTATGCCATTTACTACTTCCCCCCCCCACAGTGCCTAGTTGGCTTAGTAAGAATATAAAATAGGCATATTTGGGGGGCCTTAAGATGGCAGCTAGTTTAGCCTGATTTTCAAGGTCAGGACCTTCCTGAAGTTTGCTACAAGAAATGGGACAGAGAGGGACAGGGTTCTGGGTCCCTTGCTGGAGCCTGAAAGGATCTCTAGGCATCACCAGGCATGTAGAAAATGGTGGGACAGACCCCCAAGATCTCTCAGATGGTGCATTTGCTTTCCTGCACCTCTATTTACCAGTTCTGTTCTGCCCAGAGAGTACCATTCTGATGTTGCCAGTATTTGAGATGGTATACAGTTTATGTCCTGTAATTTCTCCAGTCTATTAATATTTTTGAGTCTTCTCTGGGCAGGAAACAGCCATTTGATGATGCCACACCACTCTTGTTAAAAAAACAAGAACTTTTCAGTGTTTTCCCCAATGCCCTTGGGATGAAATCTGGATTCCCTAAATGTGTATGGCTGCTGCCTGTCTTTCCTGTGTCATCTCATCTCAGCCATTTGCACCTATACTCCAGATATAGGAAACTTATTTCCTCCTTAAATTGACTCAGTTCGAGCCACTTGACAGCAGATCTCTCTGCCTGAAATATTCCCCCTCCTCCCAATCTTCCCTTTGCCCACCCAACTTCTCATCCTTTAAGTGCATCACAGTCATCACTTCCACTAAGCCTACTTTTGACTCCTCAAATCTCGACTAAGCTTCTGCAAGCTCCCAAGTTTACTCTCCATCCCTGTTAAGATCCCGTCACCTACTGGAATTGCCTGGTTACTGTTTGTCCTACTAGACTGCCATGAAGTCAGGCCGAGCTGCCTTGTTCTTCATGGCATCCCCAGTGGTTAACACCACGCCTGGCAAATAGTTGCTTTGCAAATATTTGCAATATCAATGAATGAATCTGGAAGTAACAAGCTAGCTTGTTATTTGGTTTTTATGGTGTGTACAGTCCTGCCTGCAGTTGTCAGTGACCCAACAACAATAGCAATTTCACATCACTGCCAAAAATTGCACTTGGGTCACATGGTTGCGTTGATACTGCAATTTTGAGATGTTTTGTTCCACTTCGTATCAACTGCCAGGGCAGCACCTTGGCTGGTCGATTTTCCTTTTAGCCTTAAGTGTGGCCAAGAGCTGACCAAAACATTACAGAATCAGGTGCAGAGGCAGTGGGACCCAGTACACCCTGGTTCTGGGATGAGCTGCTTCCAGATGTCCAATCATGGATCCAGGCAAAAACTGATTCATTGTCAAGGGCTCCAGTAGACTCAAACTTGTGGATGCTTCAAATGGGATACCTCTCACAAAAGTGATCCCCCTTACTAAGCAAAACCTCACCTGAATACCCATCCCCCGGTGAAGGCTCTAGTGAGGTCATGCCACAGACAAAGCAATTGCTGCCCCCTAGTGGCCTGAAGGGATGGGGTGGGGTGGCTATGGTACTTGCACAAGGAAGGAAAGTCAGAGGACAGCAACTCACTGCTGCTTTTCCCCTTTTTATTAAAAATAAACCCAAACACTTTATGTATCATACAAAAGTTTCATTCGCTGGTGGCAACCACGAGGAAGCTTGACCCCGTAGCACTGATGTCCCACCTCCTCTCCAAGGGACTGTGTCCCAAGGAGCAGTGGCTGGGCCTCAGGGGATGCCCACAGAGACTGCTCTCTCCGGAAACAGCCAGCTGGGGGCGGGGGCTGTTCCAGAGGCAGCTTTCCCCACCCCACCCAGTGGCAAAGGTTAGATACTGGAAAGTGCCTCTTTAGTGCCAAGATAAACAAGTGGAGTGAAATGGAAACCCCTGTGATCCCTTTATTTCCCAGGGCCTGGGATTTGAGATTTTTCCTTCCACCCCCAGAATCCTACTCATGGGGTGGGATACTTCACCCTTGGAGACTGGTATCTCCCTGTGTGTGAGGCCAAAATTTTGCCCCAACCCAAGCCTTTTCTCTGCTACTCTGTGGCCTAGGATGTACCAGCCCTGCCCCCTGACTCAGGCTTTGTCCCCTGTTCACTCAAAAAGTGGAGCAAAAACGGATCCCTCCTATGGTCCTCTGCCTAGTGCATACCCTGCCATCACCTCCATTTATAGGACCTTGGGGCTCGGAGACCCACAACCACCCCTTTCCCCCAGTTCTGTCTCTCCCTGAATGCTGCCCACTCCTGAGCCTTGAACACCCCTGGGGTACCCCAGACCCCTGTGCCAAAGAGGCCTGGGAGTGATGAGGTGGAGGCGGGAGGGGTTGGTGGGAGCCGGGATCCCCCCAGGGGTGGAGCAGTACTCATGCTGGTATGGACTGCTTGGCAGGGCCAGGAGACAGGTGTGGGAGGGTGGGGCATGCGGAGGAAGGGCACTGCCTGCCTGAGCCCCTCAGTCCCAGCCGTTGTCCTTCACCATGTGTGACATTTCAATGATGTACTTCCCCTCCTTGTACTTCTGGCTTGTCTCAAAGGCTTGCTCCTAGTGGAGAGGGAGGGGTGGATGTGGGGCCAAACAGGCCCCTCCAGACACTCCTACCTCCTGTATTACCCTTGCCCTGAAAGTCCCCCCACCCACTCCACCCAACTGGGGCTTGGAGGGCCATGGAGACTGTCCGTTTCGGAGGGTGTCCACCCCTCATACTTACATATTTCCAGCCCAGTGTGGTTTTGCAACTCTCGCAGAAAATATCCGCTACCGAGTGGAGCCCCGTGAGCAGAAGGCGCTGTTCAGCCGGCCCACAACCCACGTTGACCCTGTCTCAGGAAACAGGAAGGACCCAGCACCCGGTGGGGTCGCTCTGTCAGTCCAGCCCCCAAACAGCCCAAAGGGACTTCCATCTGGAGAGCTAAACCCACCCAGCTGGGAGCCCCTGCCTTCAGCAGCCCGCCCCTTTAGGACTAGTGCCTGGGCCTTCTTCCTCCAAGCGAGATGCCACTTCTGCCCAGATTCCCCACAAGAGAACTGCAGTCGGAGTTCCTGAACCCCTCTGCAAGAGGGGAGGCAAAGCAGAGCGCAAGGCCACCTTCCGATGGCTCCCCCCCTTCTCCACAGAGGAGCATCAGGCAGGCAGGCAAGCACACACGCACAAGGAGAGAGGTGGACTCACACGGAGTTAAACAGGTAGGCCCGGCCGTGGCTCCCTTGGAAGGACTGTGGAGACAGGACAGACAGTGACCACCGGGTGGCCCTTGGCCCCGCCGCCTGAGCCCCCGGGGCCACGGAGGAGGGGGGCAGGCTGCGTGGCCTCGCCCCAGGTGAGGCCA